CCCCCGCTGGCAGTGCCCGAGCTGCCCGAGGTCGTGTCTGCTGCAACGCCCTGCGACCGCCCGTTCAGACCGTCCACCTGACAGAGCCCAGAGGAGACACAGCGCGTCACCCGCCCAGCTCAGCCCAGGACACGACATCCTAGCCACACGCAGCCCCAGCCTCAGTTCCACCAGGAGGCCCAGGAGTACATTAGCCAAGTGCCAGGCTGCAGGTGGTCAGGAAGGCAGGGTTTCTCGGCCTTTCTCTCATGCCTGTCCTTCTAAGGAGCCTTTGTAAGCTTTCTCCTCATTACCCTGGCCATGACATCTTTTTTTCCGAGACAGGGTCTCACTCTGTTGCCCAGGATGGAGTGCAGTGGCAAGACCACAGCTCACTGCAGCCTCCAACTCCTGGGCTCAAACAATCCTTCCACCTCAGCCACTCAAGTAGCTGGGATTACAGGTGCACACCACCATAACAGGCTAATTTTAAAAACAGTTTGTAGGGATGGGGTCTTGCCATGTTGCCCAGGCTGGCCTCGAACTCCTGGCTCCAAGTCATCCTCCTGCCGTGGCCTCCCAAAGCCCTGGGGTTACAGACAGGAGCTACTATGCCCAACCCCTATGACACTTTGACCCTGTAAGCATACCGTCTGTCTGCGCATCCACCTTCGCACATAAATGTAGCACGCATGATTCCTTAATGAGAAGCACTCTTTAATGCAGTGTCAGAATAACTAAGTCAAATTAAGCTACATTAAAAACTAAAGAGCAACACTTACCTTCATCACTGCTGAACCATTCTGTAATTTGTATACTTACATAAATTGCAATGTATCAAATCACATACACAAATTAGCAATTTACATAAACACAGTAATAGCAATGAAGCTGCATTTTAAAAACTCATTCAATGGTTTCTTTTCCAGCAAAAGACAGACCCTGGAAAAACTTAATTCTGTAAAAAAGATTCTTAGCGAACTGAAGTTCAAATCTTCGCTCAGCGTGAGGAAACACAACTGAAGCAGCCGCCTGGCGCTCTGCAGCGCACTGACAGGAGTGCTGGGGAAACGTCTATGGAATAAGCCACAGGGCGCCATGACTCCACGCAACTCTCCCAAATGGCACTCCGAGTGCCCCTGCAGTGGCACCTGCAGGTACCGGGCACGTCGGCCCCTCCCCATCACCTCACGGCCACCTACGCTTTCACACGGGATCTCTGCGGGGTCTTCTGCTAACTCAGGGCCAAGGTGCTCGGGTGACACCCAAGAGCCGAGGGGGCACAGATGCTCAGGAGCACAACCTGGCACAGCCTAGCTGGGGAAGGCCACAGGCTGTGGACGCCCAGCCCTTTCCTCCTCCAAGAGCCCCCTTTGCCCTTCCGGGGCGAATATCACCCCCACAGCATGGACAAAGAGCACAAGGGCTCCAGGAGCACCCTGAGGCAGTCCAATACTAACACCCCCCGCTGCCCCATGCCGACTTAGCAGTTCCTAACGCGGCCACTGCACCGCAACTCTCGCAGCCGGGACCCAGGCAGGAGGACCAGGGCCAAGCTCGTGTCCAAGGGAGCAGAGAGGGGCACCAAAAATCTCACGGCCAGCACCTGGGGCAAAGGCAGAGGATGGCCTACAGGTCAGAGTTTCCACTGGGAGGGAGGGCCTTGAGGTTGAGTGAGGGTGTCTACTAAGAGGGAGGGCCCCAAGGGTGGGTGAGGGCGTCCACTGGAAGGGAGGGGCCCGAGGCTGGGTGAGGGCGTCCACTGGGAGGACCCTCCCAGCTCCTCTGGCCGGCTGCTGACTTCTCAGTGCCTGAAGGAGAGGTGCCAGGACCCCGGGCAAAGGTTTTGAGAGACTGGCGTGTGGGCCGGTGAGTGCCCACGGGCCTGTACCCACGCCCAGGAGGGGAGCCTAGCAGACAAGGGCATCCCCATGTCACCGGGTGGTCACTTACGTTGCCCTACAAGCACCTTCCACACTACAGCTGGAAGGAAAACGCCAACTCGCCATAGCCGCCCGGCAGAAAACCATGACACCTGTGTCCGGGCCACACCCGATGCCTCCAGTGGCCCCGGGGAGCCACCAGGGTCCCAAGCACTGTCCCTTTCCCCAAACCTGCAGCCCCCACCACCTCCGTGAGCTCACGACTCTGTTTCCTGAGATGGGGAAGGAGGAGCAGGAGCCCAGAAGCTGCTCGGCACCCGCAGGCCCCACTCGGTGTGCAGACGCAGCCCCCGTCCCTCCTGGAACAACACGCGGCTGGCCAAGCTCCTTGCCTCTTACCCACTAGGGAATCAAGCGCCACACTGCCCTCTGCCCTCCGCGCTGAGTCCTCTGTGGGGCTGGGATCACTCGCATCCATTCCTCAGTCACATCCCCCCAGTGAGGCGAGACACTCCCAGGCCCCGTGTCC